ATAAATAATTAAATTAATAAAATTAAATAATTAAAAATGTTAAATATAATAAAAGTGATTAAATATTTATAAAATAATTATTTTATAGAATATTTGAGCCATAACATCGTTAAGGGTACTGAATCAAGACTTTCAGGAACTATTTTTTGTAATTCCTGTCACGAATAATCACAACTTTTACGTGAATGTTGTTTGGTAGCTTCCCAATATCTCTCAATAAAATTTAACTCGCAGTGAAACTTCAGAAAAAAATGCATTTATGTCTTGCATTTTCAATTAACTCCTCAATAGCACCTTTTTGAGCAAGAAAATCAGGCTCCAAGGATATTACTCAACGTGCACAACAAGAAGTTCTTGAAATATCTTAACTCTTTTCTTTGTATTTGTTACATTCTAATACTAATTCTTCAGATGACCATTTTTCACATTCTATCAACACTTGCTTAATTCCCTTAGGTGTATCTCGAAGTTTCTCATCGTGATGTGTTATTGAAAACATCATCGATTGTAACTGATTATTTTGTTCAAAATAGGTGTCCCACATAATTGATTGCTTGTCACCTGGGTTTAAGTTCATTCGGCTTGCGATCAAAGCATCTTTGCTAAACATAGCGTGGTTAGAGCTATTATCGAAAGTGAATACAGCCACGCAGTTCGGATATAATGCCTCAAAAATGGAAATTGCTTTGTATTCAATTTGTTCGAGAAGATGCTCTGCTGTCCAATAACCTTCTTGATTTATGCCAGGTTTTAAGTAACATCGTATCTCTTCAGGTACATAGGGATTTTTTTCTTTATCAGCTTGCTGCAAGCATAGACATCCATCAATCTCGGTTAGAAATTCACTAATCATAATTGATCTCCTGTTTCCATTTTTTCGTAGTGGCATCTCACCATCTTTAGTTCATACTCCACGTTTGTCATCGTTTGAATAAAAAATGCATTTATCATGAACTACAAAGACTCTCTCTTTCTCTCCTTTAGATAAGTCAGGGCGTATTCAGTCCATAGATTCACCTTCGTATTTGGACATGTATTTCTCATGCTCGAATATTTTTTCTAGGAATTCTTTTCAATATTGCAGAACGTCATCTCTCTCATGTCCATCATAATATATCTCACAGCGATATTGTTGGAACGAATAGCCAAGAATCTTAAACCACCTTATTGCAGTCATTAAAGTAATAGTTTTTTCTTTGGCGATTCCAATGCTAGAAAATAATTCGTTCTCAACAAATTTTTTAAATACTGCTGGTGTGATATCAAAATTTTGTTCTCGAATCCAAGTATGGCATCTTTCTGCAATATCTTCATTATCGATTACTCTAATTATTTTTTGGTGTTTTCCATGTCAAGATGCTGGAAATTTATTATTAAGTAACCAGTACTTTGTAAGATTCTGAATTTTTCATGTTTTCCACACATCACCATCAATAAAAATTTTTTGGATGATCTCTAAACTGATACCAATTCTTCCATGGTCATCATTAGCATTTAACAAGGTAAGATATTCAAAGATGGCTCTTTTATTATTATACTCGAAAACAGTTAATTGAGCATGTTTTTCTAAATGCTCTTTTAACTCTTTTATTTTTTCAGGTATTTGATAAGTGTACAGATTAATAATCTCATTTTCTGAATCACTTGAAGCATCTTCTAATACGCTGGGCTTAGGTAATTGTGGATCGGTAACTTGGGTATCGCTAATCTTAAAAAAACTCAAAATTTTTTTGGTGCCAGCTGCTGCTTTAGTTAATGAGCTATTTGGACCATATTTATCATAATAGGTTGACTTTGGTGTCTTGCCTATCATATATGGTTCTCGCTTCATTCTTTCTAATTGACTATCGTTTCTCTATACTAAGTCGAGTTCTTTTAATCTTCGATGGAGCTTAATTTCAGCTTCCATATCCTCCGGATCATCTCATCCACTATCATCATCATCACCCCACTCTCTTTCACTCACTTCTAATTCACCATCACCTCACTCTCTTTCGCTTGCCTCTAATTCACCATAAATTATAATTGTATGATCCACTTTTTTTGACTTATACTTGCCATTCATTTCTCTAATTTGATCTTTACACTTTCTTTTTCTTTTTGGAGCAAGAGATATTTTTTATTATCTAATCAATCGATTTTTTTTACAAATTAGAAAAAATTTTTTATGCGTACGCGATCTTATTAATTCAATGCGTAATTGGTATTTGGATGGCATTGCAACGATGTTGTGCAACCAAAGTTATATCACTATGCTAACGATTTGAAAAGACGCGAATGCGTATTGGCACAAGATGCTTCTATCTCTCACAAGCAAATCAAATGAATGGAAACCCCAAATTTAAAGAAAGAGACTTAAGATATTTTAAAGTTTATGATAGTGTATTAGTACAAGGTTTTCTATTTTATCTTAATTATTGGTGTATGAAAATCCTGATGTTGAAATTGGTAAATCCGAAGGTGGTGACAGGATGAACAGTAGAAAAGGTGAAGGAAGCGGTGACGATCAAAATATTGAAGAATTCAAAGACAGAGAGCCGAATTTTATTGATGTGAACAATACAACCATTTTGATGCATTCTTATTATTAAACATTTGTATTATTACAGATGCATTTACATTATTAAATTATGCATTCACATTATTAAAAGATGCATTTACATTATTAAAAGATGCTTTATATTATTTCTATTCTAAAAACTATTCTATCCTCTCTTTTCTCCAATTCTTAAAATTCAATATGCATACTCGCAAGTTTTTTGATAAATAATAAAGAGCTTTACAAATAATTGACATAGTCAGATTCATTGCAATTCCCTTTGCACTTTCATCATATGTCGTGATGCTTTAGCTGACACTGTGACTGGCTGTTACTAATTTGGGGAATTCAGCGAATTTTGTTGTAAAGGGGACGGAAAGCTGTGGGATCACATGAACACGTGATCCTGAAACCAAGTAACTCAGTATAGTTTTCTGACTCATGTGACTTAAATGATCGATATCTAATTGCTGATTGGTCTAAAATAGACTGATCGGCATCCGAAAATAAAAATTTATTAATAAAAGTGATCATTTTTAAACTTAAATAACTTTACAAAATACTAAATAATTAAAAAAACTAAACCATAAATCTGAAAGAGCATCACTAAAATTATTATTTTCACAGTTTATATTTTAAATATTACCCAAATTGGAAGACTAGATATATTTAGAAGTTATACAAAATTGTTTGATGACTATAGATGTTACGCACCATATAACTTCTGAATTAGGATGCAAATCATAACTCCTAATTAAGAAATATAGAATTTGTTGATAGTTTGGGTCTTTACAATTATGTTTGCTTTGGGAAATCATGTCACCCATATATTGCTTGCCGAATTCGACATTGACCGAGGTGCTTCTTTAACGCATCAGTACCCTCAAATTACTGGAACCGATGAACAGTAAGTAATTGTCCAAAAACACCTCAACCCTGCTTGTTATATACTTGGCAATAAAATGCTGTCATTAAACGCGAAAACTTGTTTCTTCCCATTATTAAAGCTTATTAGCTGAACTCATGCTTCCTGATGGTGCACATCTTCGACCTGAGGACTGGACCGTATTTTTCCTGAATCAAACAATTCCAAACATAGACGACATTTCGATCAATACCACCAAAAGAATGTCTAGTGACGATAAAGAAGGTGATGAAGAGGATAGACCCTCGTTGTTATATGCATTGAATCTGGTGCGGACAAAACATGATAAAGAGGCAAGGAGGTTGGTAAGAATAGAGAAGGACGAAATTCAATAAAAGAGTTGAGTTTTCTTCAATAGAAATTTTATTTATCGAATAAACATTATAAATATTTTATATAATAGAGGTGCTGTCGTTAAAGCAATGGCAATTTGTACGAAGCACCAATTCTTACACATTTATAAGGTACCCTACTTATTCTTAATCTATTTATTGTTGCATAGATGATCTCATTAACTTAACAAAGAAATTCTACTTTTTAGCCAATTTTGCTTTTAGCCCTCGAAAATTATTTTCAAGATCCTTCGATAAAATGCCTTGAATCACTTTACGAGGCTGTCAATTCAATGGACGTGTCATTTATGCCGCGTTTCTCGCCGCAAGAGAAAGCGATATTACGTGCATCAGAATCCAAGGATTTGTTTGAAGAGAAATTCGTGGAATTCGAGAAAAATAAGAATCGGATTAGTAATTATTCCACGGGAAGTAATAATCAAAATAACAACAACAACAATAATCAAGTAGCAGCTGCAACACAGGAAAATGTAGTAAAAGCCACGGTACCATTGAGTTCAAACGCTGAAAATATGAGTCACGTAGATACTCCCGAAGAAGAGCGATTGGCGAGGATGAGACGTGGCGCGTATATTGATTTGTCATCTCGTGAACTTTTGCCTAATCTTAGTAATGTACATAAAGATCGGCATTTCTATGAGACAAAAGTCCATTATAATGGAATCAATTTGCCAATTAGAGTTCCTTTGACTGTTAACCCAGAAGAAGTTGGTGATGTAAGTTACTATTTAATATATATTCTTGCACTCGTAAATGAAATGATACACTGTTATTTTTTTTCAAAAAAAAATATGTCGAAATAAATATATTCACCTCGCCATCCGTATCTTGAATAATAATCAATTATGACGTTTCGCTATAATTTTTATGAATTTTTTCCTTTTTCTTAAAGTTCTCTCTCATCAAACTCATCACAACGTTTTCCCCTCCATCACCCTCACCCAATACTCACCCATTTCATCCTCACCTTGATACCAGTGGAAATCAAACACATCCGATTATTCTTTTGGTTAATGCGTTGTTGACTCAAAAACGCATAATATTTTTGGGCCAAGGACATCCGTCTGGCGATGTCGCTAATTATGTTTTGGCTGCGTGTGCTATGGGAAGTGGAAGTGGTGGTGTATTACGGGGATTCTCGGAACGTGCATTTCCGTATACTAATTTGACACAATTAGATGATTTGTTAAAAGTGTAGTTTTTTAATGTTTCTGTTATTGCTCTTTTTTGATGATTGAAAGTTAGAATACTAATTCAAAATATGTTATTTTTAGACCAGGTTTTATTGCTGGCGTGACTAATAGAATATTTGAAGACCATAGTTCATGGTGGGATGTATTATGCAATATAGATACAGGAAAAATCACAGTTAGCAAAGATATTGTTACTCCATCTTATGGCACTAAACAAGACGACCGTCCTGATGAAGGAGCAAAATCTCCTTCGAGTAAGAATGAACCATGGGGCAGAGAAAAATGGGATATGACTGATCATGAATTCATGACTGAGGTATTTTATTTATAGAATCTTATTAATACATATAAAAACGTAATCGACAATATGCTGCTCCGAATTAGGTTATGCATGCGATACAGCATCATTATGGCGAGACAGCAATTCGCGGAAAATTCCAAGAGTATGTCCAACGATTTGTACGGCTTACCGCTCTCTACGAAATAGAGACTTTTGGCTCTACCAAAATAGGAATAACACCTGCAAATACAGATACCAACAAAATTCTTGGTACTGGTCTTGCTTTTCCGGATGAAAATGCAAAATTACGTGAGGTTGCCGCCAATATGAATCGTATGGAAGGCTGGAGACAGACAATTTCTTATAAATATTATCAACAGGTTGGCACCAATTTCATGCGTGTTATTATCCGTTTATTGATTAAGAAAAACAAACGATTAATATTGATATTGTTTATTAAAGGATTTCCAACATTATCTGAAAACACGAAGCATCAAATCGTTTGATGTCTACTTTCAAATTGCGAAACTTCGGACACTTAAGAATATGCAGACGGAGGAAGTGGAGACCTTGTATAAAGCATTTGTCGACAGTGTTCATACAGATGAACAGATAATCGAGGTGATAATCTTTATACGATAAGCAAGATGAAACTTTATTGCCTTGATGCATTCTTGTATTTATCCGTCCTTTTCCAATTTTTTCAGTTCTTATCGTATTTGCCACAGAATCAAGGAGGTCTATTTCCAGTCGGACTTGGATTATTCCACCCTTTGAAATCTGTGCGTGGATATACAATTGAATTGTTTAATAGAATAAATGAACATGTGGTAAAGTGTTTTCCCATTCTAATTACCTTCTTAATATGAATTCACTCTAAACCCTAATCCTCTCTTAATATCATCAAGACCGGAAACAAATTTGTTCAAACCTTAAATTTTTTCCTCAAATACGCATACGAGAGACAACTCACGCTTCAACGCGAACAGCAGCAAATTGTTAATAAGATTGCAGCGCACCAATACGATAATAATAAATTCATTCCTTCTTCGCCGGACAAGTACGAGTTTTCGATGACGTCGAATTAATCCATTATTGATTTTATTTTTTATTAGTGTAGAACTATCGATATATTTTATGCGCATTCATAGAAATAAATTTAACCATAGTCATAAATAAATGTATAATGACTATTAATGACTCATACCAAAAAATATATTTCAACTTTCATTTCTTACGAAAAGCGGTATACATGATATATCATGATTTTTTTAACGCGTAACTTTATAAAGTCGCGACTGTGTTTAAAGACAAACCCATTAAAATCATCTTCTAAACAGTCATCGTCGTTACTGTTAATAGGTTGTAATCGTGATCATAATAAAACCACAAGACATTCTTCACTTTATTATCATTCTCCTCTATTACCTTTTTCGCAATCCTCGAATTTTTCAACTTTTTCAGATTCTTTGAGCAAAAACCCGTCGGGAAACATACCGCCCCCTCCACAGTTAACGGCGGCATCATCAGCTAATGTATCTAATGCCAAGAAAGAGGATGCTGCCTTTTCAGCTGAAGTCCGGAGACTCGTGGAAGAAGGCAAACTGGACAAGGCATATAGAATTGTGCTTCTTAGCCCGAAACAAGTCTTATCACAAGAAGTTTGGAATATATTGATTACGGAATGCGTAAAGGAGGGGAAAGTTTCAAGGGGCTTTCTCTTACTTACAGAGGTAAAATAATACTTTTTGATTTACAATTCATAAAAGTCAAATAATAATCATCAAACTCTATCAAGATGAAACGACGAGGATTCCTACCCAATGAAATACAAACATACACGATCCTCTTAAATGGTATGGAAAAAAAATGCACCTTCCCTAATAACATAGTCTTCGCTAGCACCGTTATAGATATCATGGTACTAAACGCGAATGAGACCTCAATTTATCCAAATACTGCACACGGGAACGCGTTATTGTCTGCGTGTGATCGCGTACAAGATTTCACGTCATTGCGGGAACATTACGATCGGTTATTTCGGTCTGGCATAATGATGCCAAACGCTGACACTTATACGATATTATTTTACGGATGTTCTAAACACCAATCCGAAGGCTACAATTATGCTTTTCCTCTTTGGGAAGAATTATTGGAAAAACTTAAAAAACAGAAACAAGAAAACGAAAATCATGAAGAGAGAGTGGAGGATATGGGCGAGGAAAAATTGGAGATGAACGATCAATTGGCTGCTGCAATGATTTGTTGTTGTAGGAATGCAGGGGAAACCACAAAAGGATATGAGATTGTTGAAAAAGTATATGGGATCAAATTGCACGCGACGCCTGAGATTGTACCTTCAGAATATGATGTTGAAATGACTGCGAAATCACTGGATATTATACTTGGATTATTTCACAAAGTTCGTGCTGAATCAAAAGGACTTCGTTTTTTCAAACGGGCTTTGACTAAGTTTCCAAAAACAATAGCCCTCGATATTCAAAACATAAATCTCTTAATCTTTTTAAATATACAAACAAGAAAGTATCGCGAGGCACTTACCCAAATTCAGTATATTCGTACTCACAATTTGAAACCCGTTCTACGTACCTATGATCTGCTGTTGAACGCTTGCAGACTTGCAGGAAATTTCATTGCGGCCAAAAAATTAATAGCGGAAATGCGAGAACGGGGAATGAAAGCTAATGCGATGGTAATAACATCGATACTTACTTGCACTGTAAACCTACCAACGTTAAAGATTACCGATTTGTGTTGGGTGTTGGATCAGATTGAAGGATTTGGTTTGGATATTTTATCGCTGAAGAATCGATCTTACAAGATTCCGTTCAAGGTGAATCCAGTTTTTTTGAGATCGATGATTAGTGCGTACTCTTTGGCTCGGGATATGGCTGATAAACAATTGTTGGATGAGAAATTTGAAAATTGGACATTTTTTGAAGAATTTTATAGTAAAAAACTGGGTTCATCTAAAAATTATGCAAAGGAAGAAATGAATGAGGGTGAAGTGAATGAGGATGAAGTGAATGAGGATGAAGTGAACGAGGATGAAAATGAATTCAATACAGAAACTTCTTCAAAGCAAGATAGTTTCTCAAGTTACGAGGAAAAGCCACCAAAAACTTTAAAGGTTTCAGCAAAACAAGATAATCTCATGACTGATGAAGAAAAACCGTCACGAAAATTAAAAGGTTGGGTTGGACATCAAAATGATTCCACAAGCGATAATGAAATTTCAGAACCAAGTTCGACTGATCGCGTAGATTATTTGATTACAGGAGAACGAAATGTAAAATTAGTTCGACAAAGATTTAGGCCTGGGATTTTTGATGCAGAATTTAACGATAGAGAAAAATCGAGTCAATCGAGTCAAGAATGGCAATCTGATCCGACTAACTTCAAATCACACGAGAAAAACTATGGAGACAGAGGTTATCGCAATGAAGAATCGAACGATACGGAAGATAGGTTCGCACAGAAGTCAAAAGCAGAAAAATCGCTAAAATATCAAGAAGATGAAGAAGAATTTCTGGATAGATCAAACATAAAAGAAAGAGCGAAACCTAAATATAATGAAATAGGAGGATCAAAAACAGACGCAAGATATCGTGGAAATTCATGGTCTAACTCAAGTTTTGAAAGACAAGAAAAGCCAAGATATTCAGGATATAATGATCGTGATGATAATAAATATTCAAGATTTGCAACAAGAGATAGACCCGAATTTAATATAAAATCAGCAGAGCAAAGACCGAGATATTATGAGCAAGAACAGGAATATTCTAGACCAAGGTTTCGCGAAATAGAAAACAATAAAGGAAAATATAGACAAAATTATAGTGTTAGTAATAGTATTGAGCAATTTAGATCATCAGGTGTAGAGGAAAATAATTATGAAGACTATCGTAAATTTTATTCCCCGTCAAGCTATGAAGTAAAAAAAAGACAATTTCCTAGAATAATGTCTGAGGAAAGTCAGCCAAATTCACGGAATCGAAAAAGCAGTGATGGTGGTAGCTTCCGTGATACTTCACTACGGCAGCCACCACCACGATTTAGTAATAGTATTAGAAGTAATAGCGGCAGATCTGATTATAATGAACGGCCTCAAAGATCATCTTTCAGACGTAATTAATTTAACTATTTATTGAAATTATAATAATTCTAGAATTTTGTATAATTCGAAGCTCGTTGCAATAAAAAATATAGATTTTGAGTAATACAACAGATATTGCATGAAAAAGTGTGGATCGGAATCACATGATCTGAAACTTTTTTTCAACTTGTCAATGTCGTTCTCTTTCCTTCTCATATCAAAACTTTTATCTCGTTGCAAAAAGATCCCTTTACAGGCTGACCGACATCAAATATATTTCAGACATTATATGGCTACAAGCACATCAAATACTGTACGTCGTCCAAAAGTTTTAGTAACGCAGGCTTTACTTCCAGATTCAGAAAAATTATTAGAGAATGCTGAGGAGGTTGAAGTTGAAATATGGAAAGATGGACTTATTCCTCGGGAAGAGTTATTAAAAAAGGTGAAAGGTTTGTTCTATTTTTGCATTAAAATGTTACCTTCAAGTAGAATTGAATAATCAAGATTCGAGTTATGAAGCTTCGTATAATCTAGGATTCGAATTATATATATTTGGATTGCCAATTTCGAACCTAATTCGGCAACTATGTATATAATTCAAAAATCTGAATCGAATCCGAAGTTTCGAATCCGATCTCTATTTTCAAGATTTTAAATTCTAATTGGATTTATCTAATAAAAAGGTGTTGATGGAATATTATGCACGCTATCTAATAAAATTGACAAAGAATTATTGGATGCTACTGGTCCACAAATTAAAGTCGTTTCAACAGTATCCGGTACATTATATATATGTATATATTTGATAAATTTATGCTTCATAATCTAAAAATAATAATTTATTTATTTTAGTTGGATATGACCACGTTGATGTGAAAGAACTTCGTAAGCGTAATATACCACTTGGATATACCCCGGGTGTATTAACTGATGCGACAGCAGGTAATTAATTTCTTCGAATATTTAATATTATGAAGAAAAGATTATAATCCATATTTTCTTTGTTAACAAGATCTCACGGTTATTTTGGTGTTGGGTGCAGCACGTCGAATTCGAGAGGTTTGTTTGCTCTGATATTTAATTAATAATCACTTATATTTATTTCATTTTATCTAATAATTTAGGGGATTCTTTCGGTGTTAAATGGAACATGGGGCATATGGACTCCAACTTATATGATTGGTATACATATTTTTTTTAAAATATAAATCAACTAATTAATTAATTAAGTTATTTATTTAACAGGATCTCAATTGAGTAATAAAACAGTTGGGATTGTTGGATTAGGTAGAATAGGCAAGGCAACTGCTATTCGACTAAAGCCATTTATCGGGGCTAACGGAAAAATAATTTACAGCGGAAACTCTGACAAACCATATGCCGGTGAAATTGGAGCAACTAAAGTTGACTTTGATACGCTATTACGCGAATCAGATGTAATTTGTGTCACTTGTGCGCTTACCTCACAAACTAAAGAAATGTTTGATTACGACGCGTTTAAGAAAATGAAGAAAAGTGTTGTATGTATTTTTCTTTTTACTCCATTCTCATTATCTCGTTAATTATGCTCACAAATTATTTGAACTTGATAGGTTTTTGTTAATTCAGCACGTGGAGGTCTCGTCAAACAAGATGATCTCGTACGTGCATTGTCGGAAAGCCTATTGGGTTCAGTCGGACTAGATGTGACGACTCCTGAACCATTGGATCCTCAAGATCCCCTACTAAAGTATGATAATGTGTTCGTTTTACCGCATATCGGAAGTGCAACATACGAGACACGTACGTTAATGGGGAATATTGCGGTTGAAAATTTGTTGGCTGGTGTTCGTGGAAAACCGTTACCTCATGCTGCGCAGTTATAATTGACGTTAATAGTTTTGAATGCTTTTGTTTCTTAATTTTTCACGTCCCTCCACAAACTAAGACACATGAATGTGAATTAGAGAATTAATTGCGTAATTTCAAAGAATAAACTTATTATGGGTTATAAGTTAGCTTATTTGTTTGAATAACAAATTTTCATCAAACCTTGGAGAATGTGATTAATAATTTCAAATACATGTAAATTAAAAAACGCTAAATAACTAATAATTGAATTTTGATCTTTTATTTTTATATTGTAAAAAAGTTCAGATACGAAATACGAAATGAATTATATTTTAATACCACAGGTATTGGCTGTACGAAAGTGAAGCATCTTTCCATACTCAAAGTCTGGGATTTGTGTCCCAGAGTAATCTCGAAGAAAAGTGGGAGCAATTCGATGATTACAGAATTTCGGAACCAATTAATAATAAAAGATTTTGAATTTCATGAACAGATTGTGTATTTGAAAAAGGAATGATTTTAAAGTACACGTAAATTCCGGTTTAACAAAAATACACTTCGTTAAATTGGCGTTCTTATAATACATTAGTTTAGAAAACTTTCACTTCGCTCAACCGGTCCTTCCTTCGTTGATGCGAACTTTAGTATATAGTTTCTATATAGAAATTTTTGGTAATACCGATAATAAATTTGATCAGCAAAACGAGTGAGACTCATTATTTGCCACAAATCTTTCTCGATGATTACGAGAAATCTCTATCAAAAGAGTTGTATACTACGAAATTCTTTTCCAGCTAAGGCAGTTATTACAAAAGAAAGTCGCGCATCCTATTTCTTTTCAGCTACTAGCAAACCAGTCAGTTTTTGTCGGTCGACCACTACTGGGAGAGGAGCTCATTGTTCTCGATTACGACTCAATGTCATTAGTCTAAATTTTAATGGGTCATATCGTTGTTCTCTTCGTGACGACTACAACAACCAGAGTTTTAAAGCTAATATTCTTTTAAAAAAAAGGCACTTGTTTTCTAGTTGGACAAAGTCAATACTCTTGATTTCGTCAACGGCAGCAGTCTTTCCTATAACATTATTTTCAATCATCCAATTATTGTCGAGTGCTCGTTTGGAGTCTTTTTCTTTTTTTCAAAATAATATTCCCTTTGAAGAACATTTTGTTAGTTTAGATAATTCCGTTAATGAACAAGATAGTAATGTTAGTTTGACACATTCATCTACTACAATAAACAATAATAAAGTTAATTTCATAAAAATCTGCGTAAATAATGTCGCGTTTATTTTGTCCAATTACATTTTGGAACCATTCTTGACGACATGCCGCTTTGCATACTTGGTATTGTTGTTTTTGCCATTGATTGTGAGCGCACCTGCGTTGTTGATTGGTAGACGCGTTCCAGAAAGTGATAATGAGAGAACAGGGACGCTACTATGGTATGATTTTTTGGTGAAGCAAATGGAGACGGCGGGTCCAACATTTATAAAGGTAAATATCTTTTTAAATGTAATAATATTTTCATAATTTATTATTATGCTATCTTATTAATTTATGTATACTGTTTGATCAAAGTTGGCGCAATGGGCAGCTTCTCGTACAGATATATTTCCCGAGGAAATGTGTAACCGATTGTCGAAGCTTCATTCTGCAGTTGATCCGCACCCATTCACTAAGACAAAATTGATAATTGAGGGAAATTTCGGGTTACCATTTGAAATGATATTTGAAGAGTTTGATCCAAAACCCATTGGAATTGGCGCACTCGCTCAGGTATAGTGATTTTTCGCATAAGCTTACCAATCATATGTATCTTATTATATTTAAATAGGCATATGTATTCAATACGAATCTGTTATGTTTAAATAGGTATATAAAGCAAAGCTTCGACCTGAAATTATCCCTCCATCAATATCTAATGAAACTACATCATCATCATCATCATCTTTAACCAAAAAAAAACCTGAACTGAACTCCCCATTGGTAACTGATGTAGCAATAAAAGTACTTCACCCGAACGTGGGAAAGTTGATCCGACGAGACCTTAAAATCTTGATGGTTTTTGCGAAAATCATCAACGAAATCCCAACTATGCAATGGCTCTCATTACCAGAAGAAGTTGCGAAATTTGGTGAAATGATGCAAGATCACTTGGATCTACGTATTGAAGCAAATAATTTGAAAATTTTCCTGATAAATTTCAAGGATCGGGCGTCGGTCAGCTTTCCACGACCTTTTGTCGAATATACCACGAAAAATATGTTGATTGAGGAATATGAGCCGGGGATACCGATAAAGAGGTTCCTTGAACTTGGTGGTGGCGTGTTTGAGCATACTATTGCTGACATTGGTATTTTTCGAATTGAATTTATGGGTTGTGAATTATATGCTATTTGTGAATCATAGTATATTAATTATTTATTTTTTGGATAATAATTCATAGGATTAAAATCCTTCCTTGTATGTGCCTAAATTTTTTATATCTAATTATCTGAGCGATTGAATTGATTTTATACTAATAATTATATCCATATAAATAGCACATGCTCATATTTGACAACTTTGTTCACGCTGATCTTCATCCTGGAAACATCTTAGTAACTTTTGTAAAGCCAAAGAAATTGATGGACTTTTTTCGTCAATTCTGGATCAACCTCGTAAACAACAAACCCGTAGAAGATTTAGACGACTCAAAAAGAGCGGTCCAACTCCTAAAATCACATTACAAAAATAAGGAACATTGGGAAGAGGAACTAGATCATCTTTTTCAAGAAGGATTTCAACCCGTTATAATATATCTAGATACTGGTCTGGTCACAAGTCTCAATGCAGAAAATCGCCGTAATTTTCTGGACCTTTTTCGCGCCGTGGCAGAATTTGATGGATACCGTGCTGGAAAACTAATGATTGAACGATCAAAAATGGGTCACTTGGTAGTAGACGGCGACGTTTTCGCGCTAAAGATGCAAAATTTAGTGCTAAAAGTGAAATCGATGACACTTGCATTATCCAAAATACAAATTTCCGAAATTTTGACCACGGTTCTGCATATGGTACGAAAACACCACGTGAAACTCGAGGGTGATTTCGTGAATGTGATACTTTCTGTGTTGTTGTTAGAAGGAATTGGACGGCAACTTGATCCGGAAATTGATTTGTTGAAGAGTGCTCTGCCGATTTTACGACAGTTGGGAGCTCAGGAAGCGAAGCGTGGTGTTAAGGATGGAAAAATAAGGGAAATACCAGTAGAGGATGGTTCATGGCTAATGTTCTGGATTTGGTTAGAGGCAAGAGAGTGGGTGGGGAATTTAAGTTGGGATGAGTTGCATGAAATAATGTTTTATAAACATATTTGGTGGTCCGATATGTGATACATAGTTATATTATAGATTTAATAGATTTATTCTTTTTCTGCATTTATTATTTGTTTATCACTTATAAATTATAACAGGACATTTTAATATTACTAAAAGATTTGAAATAAAGAGAGTTTTCGATTTTAAGAGATGTTATATATACTAATTAAAGCAATTCCTCCGTGATATTCTGTTTTGGTCCGATAAACACCATAATACCATCATCATCTGTATTCTCTTTTATTCCCGGTGCGAAGATCTTCAATTCTTGATCTGCTGATGGTGGTGGAACATCAGGATCCGCGAATCTCAATTTTGGCAAAGATGTAGCATCAGGATCCGTCTTAATCACGAATCTCACTTTTGGCAAACGAACTTTACCGACAACCAGCGGAAAACAATTAACTTTGAATAAATATGTGGATAATGGTGAGACTCGGATTGAGGTTTGTTTGTAGCCTGCGAATACGAAGGCTTCGTGTACTTCGGCGTAGACGTGAATTCGTGCGTGAGATAGTGAGAAGTTTGTGACATTGTATGTAAGAGTGAAGAGTTGACCGACAACAGGCGTTGGCGGTATTACTTTTTATAAAAAAAGCCGCGTTAAAAATTTTTATATTTGAATACATATGTGTGAACATTTTATTTATAAGAAATACTCACGGATGGTTACCGATACAGAAGATGTGCTAGGCTCAATAGAAGGTGCTGGAAACATTGTTTTGGTGAAAATGTTATTAGCATCGCCGAATTTTGTGGATCTTCTCCAAGTAATGACAAGAGATCCGGTATTCATGGCGACAGGCGAAGATACTAGATCAGAATTTGCGAGCTCCAAGAGATAATTTGCTTGGTATGCACTGCCGGGTCGCCATACTAAATTTTAATTTAATAAAACGATGCAAACAAAATTGGTTCGCCAACAATAAAATATCGGAATTTTCGAGTTATCTTTTTAGCTTACCTTGTTTTTGTTGATGAAAATCCTCCAACTCTGTAGAAGATCCTCGAATCTGGAGTTTATTATTTAAGTCGAGCTTATCAGGCTATTGAATATTCAAAAAATTATATAAGGTCCCAAATTAGATTCAATTATTTAACCATTTGTAAGGAAAAAAAACTTACCAAAATCAAATCAACACCCGATACAATGATATCCCAAGGCCCAGAACTTGTGATTCTAGAAACCAAAAGATACCTTTCTAATCTTTCAAGTGATTCCTTGTTAACATACTCATCACCTTTTTGCCTAATTCCTTTATGCTGCGAAACTAGACTGAATGACGCGTCAAAAGGAATAATAAACGGTATTCGTAACTCCTCGTCTTTTTCAATCCATCCTTGTGTAGGCGGTAGTGTTGTGGGTATACCTAATGCAGAAGCGTACCATATCTGAAGTGATATGAGGAAAAAAAAGATTATTAATTATTTAGTTATTATAAAAAAGAACCATTTGATAATTACCGATAAACGAAGCGTTCGAGTTATTGAAAACTTCTCGCCATATATATAAATAATTTTTATGGAGGATTGTCCAGCTGGAATTATTCCAATATCGATTTCGTTTAGACTTTGCTTGCCCTTTTCAGCCGGATCTGAAGTCAGATAAGCGTAAGATCCTGAAATCAACAAGAACGTGTGTTTAAAAGTCATTCCATATTCAAAACCAATAATTAATGCATTAAAAACCAGAAATATAAAACACCTTCAAAATCTATTGAAACAAGTTCAGCGTTAAGCACAACTTTAACATCTTCCGCCTCCAAATTAAGTATTGTCAACTCTATAGGATAATGTTCATTCAAGAGGGCAGGGGAATGATGTTTCACTTGAATTTCCACTTTTGCGCGTTTATGTGTTATTCTAAATTTGGCATTTTCAGAAAATTTAATTAATAAAAATTGGTATAATTATAAAAAGCAATGAAATGTAAATCAAAGGAGAATACTTTATAGAAGATTGTTCACCGGATCCTTCTAATGGAATAAATTTTGGCTTGGTGGCAACTATTTTATCTCGATAAATTCGAATGGTTATTTATAATCCTATATAAATGTTCTTTTTTGTAAGAGTAATGATAAGGGAAATTTACCATTCGATTCTGTATCATTGTCTTGTTCAAATTCTAACCATTTTCTTCTGACTTTGGAATCATTTAGTTCAGATTTAGAATTGAAATTCAATTCAACTTTCCAATTTGGCGTCAATAATCCCAACGATATAGTAAGCAACTAAAAAAAAAATCATAAATCAATTTAATAAATATTATTTTACATATACAATCTACCTCCTCTAGATGCACACCCTCAGGACCCGGTGAATACGATGAAGGTGTAGTTACATAGGGATTTTTTTAATAGTCACATGTTTAGTTTCCCAGAAACAATGAGACTTTTGGGGGGGGAGTGATTATACGGGTGGTGCTTATAGAGGGGGGAGGAGGGTAGATTGTATAAATATATTTTCTCAAATAAAACTAAATTATCACTCTAATCACCGTCAATTCTCCACTCTCTGTCGGAACCAACAACCCCTCATACACGAACGTAGACCCACTCGTAATATTCAAATTAACCTTTTTCGTCCAAACAAATCCGAATCCTTCAACCTCAATCTGTTGACAATCATCTCGACAATCAATCCACTTTATTTTCTCTTTATTGAGAATACTATTATTTGTAATTGATTCACCTTTGTCAATCAAATGATAATTGAAATGTGTATTGTTAAACGACAAGTGTAAGTAATCAAATCGCATTGGTAGTACTGGTGAATTGGACGAGGTGTTGATGGCGACTTGAAAAGGTGTTGGAGCACCAACAAACGTGGCGGTTTGTTTGAATTGGAAATTGCAGGTTACTTTTTTAGTTTAGTAGTGATTTTTTGTTAAGATAAAATTGAAAATTAAAATATTAAAAAAAAATAATCGTCAATTATGAAAGGATACCAAAAGAATTGATTAGATTCATGTCTATCATAATCGGTTTATTAGAGACTGCGTTAGGAATTTCATTCTACAAAAAATAATCATAAGATTAAAAATGACAATTCATTTCGAATAAATATAAATTTCAATAGAATTCAACCTTATATAATATATTTATTAGTTGATTTTGTATTTCAACTCTCTTTTCGTGAGTCTGACTTATTCCTAAAAGACCATGATTGATTAACATATATTTAGGCAATATTACAGAAAAAGATCAAAAAAAAAAACTTACGATCAGACAACAACTCAATCAGATATTCAACTACATTTTCCCAAGCACCAAGATCTCTCGCGCACTTTAATGATAATCGAAGTATCGACTCTAGGATTGAATGCCAAATTTCTTTTCGATATGTTTTTGCAATCCTTTCAAAAAATCTGCAAATTGAAATATAATAAATTAGTGATATTCTATTTCTCTTTTAAATAGTCGTTCGTTATTGGCAGAGAGAAAATAATATTTATTATCAATTTTACTGACTTGAGAGCCATTTCGTATTTCCCAGATTCAAAATATGTACTTGCGATTTCCGAGGCAAGATGCAAAGTCATTCGGCCACTCTTATATTTTTTAAATTGCTCATAACTTTTTGTCAACAGTTCAATTGTTAGCGTCGAATGATCTATATTTCCTTCTGCCTCCAAGATTTGTGCAGGTGGCAGTTTTGATGTATCCTTTGATTCTCGGATAAGCTGAAATATATTATATATAGATGCAATTAAATATATAATCAAGAAACATTCTTTTTATTTGATAAATATCAAAAGACAAACTTTATTGATGGACTGAAATCTCTTTTTTCGTTCCGAAGTACAAGTTGCTGCAAACCGATAATAAAATCCTGCATGTTGCAGCACCATTTTCGGATTAACCCAGGCATTTCTTCCTCCTCCGTATCCATATCGATAATCGGAAGTTGTTGAATTGCTATTGTTTGAATATGCAACGGGATAATTAATCTTGAACCCAGATCTTGTAGCAATTTCCAATAGGTCACCGAATACTCTATACTGCTTGGTGAGCCAAGCCCAGTATTCAAAAGTATCTTCTCCGATACCCCATGTATTTGATAATTTTTGGAAGGCTGCGATGTGTCTGTTTAATTGGCCTGTGGCAGCAGAAGATGCATCCAAATAAAGATTTAATTTACATATCTGTAAAAAAAAATTAAATATTCGTAATATATGCATTTAGTTTCATTGCCATCAATGAAAATAACACGAATTAATCTAATAAATATTTTACTTTTAAATTTATGCAGTCAGCTAAAACCTTTGCTTCTGCCCATCTTTTGGTGCGTATAGGAAATCCTGGTGCTCCAGGAGTAATAGAAGAAGTAGGAGCAAACATATCCAAAAGCAAGGTATACGCGGATTCATAATACCTTTTTAATAAGAAAAAACAATTAAATAATTAAATAATTAAATACTTAAATAAATAAAAATCTACGAAATATTTCTCTCACTTTATGGCTGTATCTATTTCTTGCCGAAATTCAGCAAAAGTCGCCATTTTATAATCATATCTGATCATCCATCCTTGGATTCCCAATGGTTGTGGTGTCATGTTTGGCAGTTGATCAGATGACGGTGGTACAAAACCAACTGATGCTGGTGGCAATTTGGAACGTTTCTTTTTTATGCGTTTACCAAGCTCTCGGTAATATCCGAGAGCAACTTCATATAAAGATTTTTGAAGACTAGTGATTTAAACGAGAATTTATAAAATAATCAATAAAATTCGAAACAATATCATCAATTAATAAGTTAATAATGAAAAATACTTTATAACAAAATTCTGTAATTCGCCTTGAAAAGTAGACGACAACACGAAAAAAGAATTTTTCTGTTCTAGCCCACAAGCTTTTCGTATAAAACTTATTCTTTCTTCTATAGTGGGATCATCTATAAATTTTTTTAATATAAATTTCCCATAATACAAAAAATGAAACATTCGATTGAAATGAAGTAAGTATTATAATACCTATATGTTGTTGTTTTAGAATAACTACAGCTGCGAATTTAATACCACGGTCCTGTATCGTCTTTCTAGATATTATTTTGCGTAATTTTAAATTAAATGAATAGCAAAAAAATTATATTAATCTATTTGCTTCTGACCTTCTTTCACTAATTTCAGCAGCCAATTGTCCATCACGTTCTTTTTCAGTGTTATCAGAAGTATCCGAAGGTTCATGCATCGAACTCGATACACCATTGCCACCGCCTTTTTCATCCAATCTTTCACTAATCTGCCCTACAGAGATTCCACCCGTTATTGTTGACAACGACGACCAATCCCACAATTCGTAAAATCCTACTGCAACAGCGGGAACATTCTCGCGATGCTTTCGAATCCAAATGGGTGATATTAAGCCGTCGGGATGTAGAGGAGACCCGGGTGTCAACGGCGAGAGAGGTGAATGTGGAACTGGCATCGTGAGATGTGGTGCAGTAGGTGACGAAGAAGAACGCGTACTGAATTTTCGAGGAGGAAATTCGTGGTTCTGTCATAATTCATATTCGGGTAGTAGTAGTGGTATTCAAATCGAAAAGATTTAATATAAATTAAACATTCAATCAATAGATGGAAATCACAAATTCGAGATCCACATACAAAATCCACATAAAAATTGATCAATTACGTCTCGAGAATAGTGCTCAATACTACTACCATGGTTTTAGCTATAAACTTTATTTTCTATATTTCCTTCTTGATGGCGCACCTTCTCAACTGCCACAACGTGGAAAGTTGCATTCGAGCCTTTACCAGCTTCCCATATACCTCCACCACCACCATGATGGTTCTTTGCAGTGAGAAGCGCCAACAGACTTTTCGAAATTTGTTGACGACTAGTTACTGGTGACGAAGAACCTGTGCTCATTGAATTGCGTCTCGACACTGAAGAGGTGGGCGAGGTGGGTGAGGTGGGTTCAGAGTCTTTCCCTGTGCCAAGGCCCATGACTGCCATCAGAGGTACTCTGTGGAGAATGAACTCACGTGGAAGTGATTCCATTGTGTGTTTATTTATTTATTTATTAAACGGGTTCAAAATTGTCTTTGCAAGCTTTATCGTTTTATATAGGTGTGTTACAAGATCATTCAGATTAAGTAGATTATCAACCGACAAAAATAACTAGCGCGCATTTAGGGTCCTGAGTCAAAATTCACGAATAAAAACTGGATCTCACGGTCGTCACACAAAAAAAGTTTAATTCGTTCGTTATACCCCGTGTTCGTTAAAGGTTGTAACGAAACACGTTTCTTGAAACCTTGTTTTTATAATCAATTCGATTTGATTCGTGTATTTTTTCTTGGGAAATGTTTGATCGTTTTCGACTTTTTAATTTTACATCTTATCCAACAACATCTTCTAACAAAATCTTAATATCATAATACAACATCGATATCACAACTCGCATAAACATTTATTACTATTTCAAAGATTACAGACTCGACCAACAATCATCTAAAGTTGGCTCGAGACGACGGGATACATGTGACAAAAGAACACATGGAGGAAACGTTCCACCTAATGACGCAGATGGTTGGAGCACAGTCAGAAACTCAAGAAAAACTTGTCCCAAATTTGGCTCTGTTTCACGAAGTAAAGTGTCTGCTGGTCTAAGCTTAGCTCCCGGTGGACAAGGGTCATTCGCTGTGGCATCGTCTTCAACTCCTGCTCTTCCACAAATTGATACTGCCACCAAAATGATCAACTCCAGGAAATGCCCCTATTAAATCTACGGAGAAATCGGCCGAAACTCCCAATTTCACAGCCGACCAAGCAAACACAAAGATAAAAATATGCTCGAAGAATGTAGTATATTTGTTTTTTTTTATGTGTTTCTATTCTCCAATAATTATTATTGACTAAATTTTTACTAAAAAATAATAGGAGGTAATTGCATGTATGAAAGAACTTCCTCAATAACTAGCAGAGCATTTCTAAGCTTCATAACTGGAATAATAGAGAAAAACAAAAAGATGTCGACAATGTTGCGAAAGTCTTTAAAGGATTTACTTCAAAGGCAATAATAATAGGGAAGGCCGACATAAAAAAAAGCTTGTGAGGAAGCCTTGCCGATTGTAGATGACCTTGAACTCGATGTACCACAAGTGTCCGAGTTCACGGGTCAACTACTCCATAGCACGGGACTTGAGATTGATGAAACAGCTGAATTGGTCTCGAGTCCTCGGCAGCGAAAACCATGTTAGCCTATCTCAATGCCTGGAAGTCAGAAATCGTAGGTATTTCATATTATATCTTTTGATACTTTATCAAACATATTGTGTAACTTTCTTCTTTGCTTGTAAAGGGAGAAACGGTACTCGAGAACAAATTAAAAAATTCTCCCTTCACATTAAAGACCATCTTCCTTAAAGCCACCCAGACCAAATTAATAAAGTTTTGGACAAACGTGCAAGTCTTAATTAGTTGCTTTTTTAAATTCTTTCATGTTTCCAAATTATTTAAAATACGGAACGTCATCAATAAATAAAACATCACATCTTAAAATTATTATTTATACCTAAAGTAATAAGAAATTCAGAATATACGGTGGAAATAACAAGCAAATACACCGGTATTTACTTCCTAGTTAAGAAGTTGATAGAATTTATAACATATTGTTGGTTGAAGAATTAATTGTGATTATGTAATTATCGCTATTCAACTTTCTTCTTGTGCCTATGATAATATAATTAATACCAAAATTGCATCATCACATCATACATGTCTCTGGATACAAGCTTTATATGACATAACGACACTTTAATTTTCGTTATGTGTATACTACTTTTAGTAGTATCTGCGACCAGAAAAGCTCCCTGTATCATAACGATAACGATAAGCACTCATAGACAGGTTTTGTCGATCATCAACCGCACCCGGAAAATTCTACTGTAACGGTAATGTTTAAAGTTAGGATTATAGCGCTAGAGTTATTGCCTCAAGGAGTGCACGTGCACAATAAGAAAATTGTTATCATTTAGATGATTTTCATTCTTGGTTACTTTTGATGGTTAATACTTTCAAGTCCAAAATTAAAAAGAATGGCGAGTAAACAATAATGAATCACCATAAAGATTGTTGTTATCCGTTATCGTTATTTGTTGTTAATTTTAAGCACGGGCGGGTATTTGTGGCAGTGCTTAAAATTTGCTATTGTGGCTTTTTTTGCCGCAAGCATTTGAAAATGAGTTTTAACCAACGTTTCATCCTTTTCTCTCAAAATTTACTTTTTTATACTAATAAAATACAAGTAAGAAATAAAACCCGTTAAAACTACCTTACTTACCCTTTTGTCGCTTAACTTGTTTCAATAACAAAAAAAAGTATGGGAGAAACGGAAAAGCTAGAAATTCCAATTACAAAATTACAATGGGGATTCCGAGGTACCCAAGTGGTTTTCGCGTTTTTTGCTATGGCTACAATTTCTGCAGTTATTGCATTTGACAACAAATTCATTTCAAGTAAAATTTTGGATAATATGTACTTGTTTGTATTAATCATATCGATGTTCTTTGCGGGAGCAATTGTCGGAATTCCCTACGTTTATCTTCGATATGGAAAACTTAAATCAGTAGCGAGAGCTTTACGACATTTACGAATAGAATTTGTTTTGTCAGCAATTTGGGCTTTTTTGTTGTTTTGTTCAACACTTGGAGTGACAATTGAAATTGCGTTAAGAAAATGTGCTCCTTCTGATTATTCCAAGGAATTTCTTAATTATACGGCGGGAAATAAAACAAATGGTGAACATCTTTTTGAGAAAGGATTAAATAGAGCATGTTCAACACAACGAGCAAGCATTGCTTTTGGATGGTTTGCTCTTGCTTCTTGGATAGGATCAATGCTATTAATTACTAAAGGGTGGTATGATAATCGAAGACAGCCGGTAAAGCATGATTATCATCCACATGAAGTTACAATGCATTCGAATTCATCGAGGTCTTCATTAGAGGAAGGTGGAGTTCCAGAAGTTGGTCAACAACAACCACCAGCAGTTGCACCGCCACAATATCAACCTCAACCACCACCCACATCACCTCCGTTACCTCCTCAACCACAGCAATATCAAACTTACACAATATCTCCGTCACCATCCCATGCTGTTCCAGCCGGAAATCCTATATCAATTCAAATACCTGGACCTCAAATTCCTCCGGGTGGTATTTCTTTCCCTGAACCAAAGCATTATTGAAGTACTGAAATCCATACATGCAGATTATTCATTATCTCCATCTTTTATTACGTTAAGATTCGGACTTGTACCAAATTTCTATTTCCATATTCTTATTATTTATTTGTAAATTATAATAAATGCAATTCACATTATAAATAAACGCAATTCACATTATAAAGAATAATTGTTCATCTTTAACGTTAATCTCAAACGTAAGTAATTATTTTTAGATAAATATAATACTGTTGTGCCCCAAATCACAATTTGTCCCAATTGACAATTGGGATGTAATATAGACTATCCCCCAGCACTAACCCTAATTCTGGTCATATTCCTATTCTAATTTGGGCCGATTTTGATTTGGGATACGACAATACTATCGCTATGAACAGTCAATTTTTTATTAACACCATGTTGATTTCTATAACATAGCATAGTAAACATACAGATGATTATTTTAAGCTTTAGATGTTTTAACGATACTCTCAAATTTTTATGAGATACGTATAGTGTATAAAACGTAAAGCAAATCACTACAAAATCCAATTTCTTGAAACTTTGTTCAAAGATAACAATCGATATGTAGATAATGTGCAAATCATATGATTTTCTCATATCAGTCATACGATTTGTCAGTGATCTACATAACGATAGCAAAAAAGACCAGTTTCTTTGCCCTATTTATAATATCCACCCTCTCGAGGTAAAACTTTGTCAAAAGCTCTCGTTCAGGCGCAACCGGTGATTCACGTTTCATGGCAAGAATTTGCGAACCGGAGAATAGTCAAACAAAAGTAGAAAAAATGTATGCTGATTTCGAAGGTGTTGTATTCTATAAGGAGACGTTATTTTTCCACATTCTATATATCGTTTTGTTCACGGAGATCCAGGCAACAACTTTATTAAAAGGCTCTTAGACGAAAAATTCGAAAATGCGATTTTTAATTGATCGACATCATATGTTCAATGTTTAGGGTTAGGGCTGGGGTTAGAGTGAAAGCAAAGTTATATGTAAAATTGTTTCCCCGACATTTTTTATTAGTACTCAAAGTTAGATTTGAACATCCATTTTCCGTATTTATTGCATTTTTCGCATTTTTTGCGTCGGATTGTTTTGCCGGGCTGATCAAAAATTTGCACATCCTTCTTCAGGTAAGACCGTTCCATATAAGGAAATATAGTGAACTTTTTCGTGGAATCAAAATTGCCTATCTTTGCAATGAAATATGAACAGGTGCATTAAGTAAATTTGTTGTTTTTGCACCATATTTTAATAATATTAATTGAATTCACTTGAATTCAACAACCTTTATATTATGATTTGTCTAGTAAAAATATGTCTGAAAAGAAGTATTGTATGAGGTACAAAACCATTGAGTCAATTAGATTCTGTTTGTTAAACAAAAAAAATTGGAGAGAAGCTGAAAATAATGATCTAGTAAAGGTAACATGAATGGAAGGTATTATTTTATGTAATTCATGTTATATGCATTTTGTAGAAAATTCATTAAATAAAAGTACTGAACGAATAAAAGTCTCAATTGTGGAAGATATTATATTTAGAGAAGAAATAGATACTGTAGTTAGAGAACAAGTTACCATTAGAGAAAAGGTAAAAGTTATAACAGAGAAGGATATAGAAGTTACAAATAAAGAGGAGGTAAGCATGATTAATCTCATTAAAGCTATTAAGATGATGGCAAAAATCTTCTATGAAAGAAAATATGTGAAAAAGAAAGTTTCATATATATATTTGATGAAATACGAAAATTGCTTCAAGAAACTGAACCAAACCTAAAAGATTTCTTCAACCAATTTTATTTGGCAGCTTGTCCACTTGATCATAATGAGCAAACAATGAATCATATGAAAAAATTAATGATGTTCATATGTTATCTTCTTGCATCATTAAATAATATCAAAATTAATATCTTTAAGTTTGATTTTGCATATTATTAGATTCAGTAGGTATGAGCAATGAAGGCTTAAACACGATAACAAATCCTGATATGACTTTAACGTCAAGAGGAATAGATCACAAGAAAAAAAATTTCTGATGCATATAAAGAATATGTCAAAAATGTTCTTGCAAAATATTTAGAAAATGCTTTTATACTGAATATTGACAATTATTATAATATATATATTCAAAGACAACTTGATATTATTAGTACTTTTTGGATAGCACTGTCATGAGTCCCTAGAGCTCAGATAGGTATTCTCGTGGCGTAGGTGTTCAACCAACGTCTAATTTGATACTTCGGTAATTCAATCCAGTTGCGTTAGGATCACGGCGCTGTGCGGCTTCTTCTATTCTATTAATTTAAAATAGGAAACTACTACTAATAAATATCTCCTTTGTATTTACTTAGTGTGATGACGGTTCTATAGTAATACAGTACTGATATTCTATAGCAACCTGGTTGAGTGTCCAGTAGTGTATAAAATAAGTGTTATAACAATTTTTAATAATTATAAAATCAATTAATGTACAATTTCATTAAACAATAAACAAGAAGCAGTTTATTGACTAGCTAGAT